TTTAAAAAGTTTAATTCTTACACAATTTTTCTTTACATATTAAGCCTTTGCATGTACACTTAAGCCTTCTCTATTCTAAGATTTGAGAAATACCTTTCTATATTCTGGCTTATTTTGAAAATGGCTATTTATTCTTTAAAAAGTAAATGTTTATTTGGGTATAAATTGTTAGGTAGGAATCTGTATTGCTTAGGATTCAATTTTGCTGCATATAACAAGAAACTCCCAAGTAACAGTGTCTTAAAAAAAATAGAAGTCCACTTTTATCTCACATAAAAGAAATTCAGTAGTTACCAGTCTAGGATCAGCTCCAGGAAATCTTCAGGAACCTAGCTTTCTTTCAACTTAGTACTCTGCAGCTCAACTCTACTTGTATTAATGGTTACAAATTGGCTGATAGAGCTCTGGACATCACATCTGCTTTCCAGCCAGCAGAATGGAAAAAGAGAAAAGAAAGGTAAATTTCCTCTCATTTAAGAAAACTTTCCCTCTGTCATGGAACTAAATTTTATTCAACTGTTGTGCCACGTCATTTGTTTAAAAAGCAATCCTTTACACATTAACTTGAAATGCCATCTTTATCAAATACTAAATTCTTAGTTAACTTTATTTCTGGGATTTTTTTTTTCTGTTACATTCATCCTTTTGCTTACTATTGTATCAGTACTACACCGCTTTCATTTTTAACTTTTAATTTCTGATAATACTGTATCTGGCTATCTATTCACCTCCCCCCACCATAAAAAAAAAGAAATCCATGGCTTTTTCCATCCATTTACTTTCTTGAACAAAATTTAGAATCATGGGTCAATTTCCTCACACACACACACACACACACACACTCTCTCTCACGGAAAATCTTGGAATTACAGGCAACTTTAAGACTTTGCATTTATTTGTCTTTTACATATCCCAGCTTTTGTAGTTCTTTCTGTTTATATAGTCTAGTCCTTCACATTTCTTACTCAGTTTATTTCTAATTGTTTATAATTTTGTTGCTATTTAAAATAGAATTATACTTTTAACATAAGTATTTTTGGCAGATACATAGAACAACTGTTTAGTAATTTTATTTTGTAAATAGTTCCCTTTCTCAACTCTCTAATTAGTGTAAGTTGTAAGTTGATTCTCTTGAGTCTTTGAGATTCGCAATCAAACCACTTGCTTTCTAATATTTATACCTCATTTGTTTTCGTGTTTTATTACATTGGCTAGAACTCTCAGAACCATGTCAACGAATAGAGATTTGTCCAAACTCTTTAGTCTTATTTGTGACTTTAAATTAATTTGAAACTTAAGCCCAATATTGACTTTTGGTTTAGTTCAAATATTCTTTATTGTAATAAAAATTTACCCCAGATTGCTAAAAGTCTTTTTCTGTTTTAGTGAAAGTTTTTGTTTTTTTCGCCTGCTCTTTATTTTCTGCATTGGTAAAATGTATCAAAAATTTTCCTTCAACATGTTAATATGACATTAATATTAATGACTATGGGGAGTTGCTAATAGTATGGGACCTGGAGCCAGACTGCCTGGGTTCAAATCCTGTCCCTACCATATAAAAGTTATGTAACTGTGGTGCTTCTCTTCTTGCTCTCTCAGTTACTTTGCTTGTAAAGTGAGGATTAGACTAATATCTACCTCAGAGTTGTGGCCAAGGTTAGGTGTTAATGCATTAAAGGTCTTAGGACAGTGCCAGGCAAATGGTAAATATGAGCATCATCATCCTTATTATATTTTTGTTGTACCTTGGCTAACTCTATGTTGTCATATTGTACTGTTATTTTATTTATGATATTATCATGAATAAAAAGCATAGTTATAAAAAGGTTAAATAATATTCCAAGGAGTTAAAGCTAGTAAGTGCTCTAACCAAGATTCAAACCTAGGTCATCTCCATCTTCCCTCCACATTCATAATGGAATTTAATAGTTATTTTGGGAGTATCTTTGTCGAGTTTTATTATTGTATTATATTGACTTTGTAAATAATTTAGGAAGTATTCCATCTTTTCTTCTGTCCTGGAGCAGTTTAAGTAGCACGGAAACTACCATTTCCTCAAAAGTTTGATAAAAATTGCTTGTAAAACCATCTGGGCTCCATATTTTTTTTGGAGGGAATTCTACAAAGTCTTTCAAAACTTTTCACAGAGTCAGTTCAGAGAGTCTTGATCTACACTTTGGGAACCAACATTTAGTGAATATATATTGTGTGCAAGGCATTGAGCTGGGGATTGTTGGGTAAAAAGACATGAATAAGGCCTCTGAAGGAGATTACCAATTAAGGAGGAGATAGGACTGGTTCAAAAAGAGCAGATAAACAATTTATGACGGGAAATTAAGGTAATGAAAGAAGGCTACCTTTCATCAGTTCCTGGCAAGGGTAATATTTATGGGCTAAAGTGGTCCCATATGCCTCATGGAGCAGGTGGGTTTGAAGTAGGCTTTTAAGAGTAGCTAAGGGCCTGGCCCTGTGGCCCAGTGGTTAAAGTTTGGCACACTCTGCTTTGGCGGTCTGGGTTCACAGGTTCGGATCCCAGGCGTGGACCTACACCAGTCGTCAGCCATGCTGTGGAAGTGCCCCACATATAAAGTAGGGGAAGACTAGCACAGATGTTAGCTCAGGGCTAATCTTTCTCAAGCAGAAAAAAGAGGAAGATTGACAACAGATGTTAGCTCAGGGTGAATCTTCCTTAGCCAAAAAAAAAAAAAAGAAGAAATTAAAAAAAAAGAATAGCTAAGATTAAGCAGTAAGAGAAGGGAATAGTTATATCCGATTGCTTTGAAAACAGGGTTTCAGAGCTCACGTATTGAGAAATTTTGAAATGCTTTTATCTGTCCTTTTCCTTTTCTTTTTACTTGTCGCAGGAAACTACATAATGCAGAGCAATGAGAATAGACTTTGAAGCAATACAGACTGATGTGAGCTTAAGCAAATCCCCCACACCTCTAAGCCTCAGGTTTCCTGTTTATAGAATGGGCATGAGGAACCCCACCTCGTGACACAGCAGTGAGGAACAAGTGAGGTAAAGGATGTGCAAGTTCTCAGCAAAGGCAGCTAGCTGCGCAGTTGCCCCATTTCTCTTTGTGGTGTTACTATGAGCAGCTGTTGTCAGTCAAAATGGCAGCATTAATTGCAGCAAAACAAAACCTTTTAAAATCCCTGCTCCGGTCTCCCTATGCAGACTGATGTATTAACAGTGATTACTCCACCCACAAACCCCATGGAACTACTCCTCATTTCCAGATCTGCCGTATTCATTCATGACGTGTTCATTTACTATCCTTTTACATAGGCTATTCCCTCCACTTGGAACGACCTGTCCCCTTCTCTCCTTACTACTTAGAAAGCTCTTATTTTTCTTCCAAGGCTCAAGTCCAGTGTCATGTCTCCTATGAAGGATCTCCCAGGCAAAATTAGTTGCTTTTTTTTCTGGGGTACCATAGCACTTGAACAGACCTCTTCTCCTTGTACTGCCAGCTCTCCCAAGGCTGTGGCTACAGTTTATTTATCTTTGCATCTTCCTCTGGTGCCAGTCAACAGTGGCTGGCTTATAGCAAATGCTCATAAATGTTAGCTTCATGTGCATATATGAATGAATCCCCAAACCAAAGCTTGCAGACATCTGGTTCCCCCACATCTGCTGCAGAGCGAAAACAAAAATGAATCTCTAAAACAGTTCTTGACAGCAAAGTTGTTATTTTATACTCTTTCTTTGGAAGCTCCCACTTTTTTGTTGTTATATCTGGTGAATTCACATCAGAGCAATTATCCCCTACTGAGTGACTTCAGGAGGATAGTTTATACTCTCTAGAAACCACAAGGAGAAAACTGGTGATTTGAGAAAATTCTACCCAGAAAGAATGTAGATACTACAATATTAGTTACCCTAAAGAGACTTTCACAGTGAAATTAAATTTAAATCTGAGAGAAGCAGTTTCTTCAGGGAAAGTAGGACGAATTTTACATTCTTATGGAGAAATGAGGAAGTGAACTTTTTCTTGACCTCTTATCATAACTGGAAAAATATTTTATAAACTGAAAGATCCAAACCATTTGCCAGAGTTGGAAAAAAAGTCAACTAAAAATACCAAGTGTTTGATTGACGCTTTGGTATCTAGAATGCTCTGAGATTTCATTCTTTGTTTTTATATGGTTTAGGAAGTGACCAAGGTGTCTGTGACTGTATTGATTCAATTGTTTAATTCAATAAGCATGTATCAATCATATTCTATGTGCTGAGTGCTGTGCTGGAAACAGTAGACATGTATTTGAGTTGAGATTAGAGTTGAGGAAAGAGTTGAGATTAAAAAAAGAACAAGATCTACTACTCCTTTTCCTAGAATTTCTAGTAACCATGGGCTCTTTGACACCTAGTCACTTTCCCACCATGAGAAATTGCAGGGGGAGCTGAAGAATTACTCAGACAAGCATTGTGAATAAATTTGAGGGTGCATAGGTTCCTAGTGAAGCTCTTAGGGAAGTGGTATACTCTTTTGTTAAAAGGCAGAATGAAATGTTACTTCTTTCTGATTTGAAAATATCAGGCACAGAGGTGTGTAAAATCTCATTATGAAGTTGGTTTCAGTCTTTATTTGTTCTTCTTTCTATTGTGGTTATGTGCATAAGAAAAGAGGGAATGGTTAAAAAATTTTAAGCTGATTCAGAGGCTAGAAAGATGAGCTAAGTTTGTCCTTTTACTTTGTTTTGAACAGTGGATATGGCACATAGGCCATGTGTGTCTGAACTGGAGTGATGCTGATGGTGGTTCTAGTCAAGTTGACAATTCATGGTCCCTGCTGTGTACCATGTCCTCTAGGGGAATCAAAGATGAGGAGGACAACAATTCCTGCCCATGGACGGTCTGACATCTTGCAAAATGGATGAGACTGGGGTACAAATGGGAGAATAAGCTAAGTGCTGTAAGAGAGGTGCAAGTGCTGTTGGGTTAGTGAAGTGAGGGAGGCAATATAGACCAGTTGGAGGCAATCAGGAAAGGTGCCATGGACGTGGTGGCGTTTGAAATGGACATTGATAAATTAGGTAATATTTTCAGTGACAGAAGGGGAGCTGTATCACTTTAGAAGTCCCACTCTTCCAAGTCATATCTCTATTGCCGCCATAATTATAAGCCCTTTTTGGAGAGTAGCTAGTAGTTAGTTTGGCTGGAGTATGGTATATATTTAGGGGGTTGGGGGTTGGGGGTTGGTTAGGCAAAGCAGGAAAGGTGCCTGGGGGATTTACAGTTCTAGGCCGGAGAGTCTGTACTTTCAATATTCAGTGGGGGAATCTTTGAAGGTTTGAGCAGAGCATTGCACTGACTGCACATGTGCTTCATTAGTTGTAATCTGGCAGCTTGGAGTAGTGTGAACTCATTTTTAATTGTAGGAGCAGATAGCAGTGGAGAGATTGTCACAGTTGTCCAGTAAGATGTAATGAAACCGTAGAATGAGCAAGGTCAAGGAACTTAGGTGAGTCCTTAGACTTGACTCTAGAAGGTGATTCAAAAAAGGAAAAATTGATAAATTGGACATCGTCAAAATTAAAAATTTTTACTCTGTGAAAGACCCTGTTAAGAAGGTGAAAAGATAGACTATAGAATGGGAGAAAATATTTGCAAACCACATTTCTGATAAAGGACCAGTATCTAGAATATATGAAGAACTCTCAAAACTCAAGAGTAAAAAAAACCCCAAAACAGTCCAATTTGAAAATGGGGAAAAGATGTAAATAGGTATTCACTGAAGAGGCTATACTGTGGTAAATAAGCACATGAAAAAGATGTTCAGCATCATTAGCCATCAGGAAAGTGCAAATTAAACTCATAATGAGATATTACCCTATAAGAATGTCTAAAGCAAAAAATAGTCATAACACCAAATGTTGTTGAGGATGTGGAGAAATTGGATCATTCATCCATTGCTGATGGGAATGTTAAATGGCAGTCACTCTGGAAAAGAATATGATAGTTTCTTATAAAACTCTATGTGCAATTAGCATCCTTCTAAAAGTTCAGGAAAATGATATTCACATAAAAATGAGCAACAGAAAAGTATTGAGGTCAAATCCCATACAGAGTTACTATAAGAAAAAAGGCAGTAAGAGGCAGAATAACATCCTTACCAAGAATGAAAGCATGCTAGAAAGACAAGCTCCGAAAATATGTCTGTAAAATTAATTTGCAAAACAAATTAAGAGACAGTCATAAAATTATACAGGCCATGAAAGAATAACATAAATCAGAATTAGAAAAATTCAGAAATGAAATGACAGAATTCACGAAATAATTAGAAATAAAATAAATAATTAAAAATAAGAATTTTAGAAATGAAGGCTAACTAGAAGGAATAAGAAAATACATCAAATAAAGGAGAAAAGATAGAAAAGTTTTAAAATGTAAAAGAAATGTAAAAAGAGATAAAACAAAGTTACAAACATTGAAGATAAGCAAAGAAGATCCAACGTACACATAAGAGTCTCTGAAGATGATAACAGCAAAGAAACAAATACTAAAATTATAATTGAGAAAATTTTGCCAAAATAAAAAATTGAAAATATAAGTTGAAAAAATAAACTTTATACCTGAAAATATTGACCTAGAATGGGCAGCATAAGATACATTCTGGTAAAAATTTCTGGCCTCTAAAGAAAGAGAAAAAATCCTTTGGCTATCTAGACAACATCAGTATATTACTTGTAAGAGAAGGAAAGTTAGATTATCGTTAGAGTTTTTGACAGTAATGCTATATATGGAGTAACATATTAAAGATCCTCAGAGAAAGAAAATGTGAGCCAAGAAGTTTGTATCCAGAAAAGCTGACCTTTAAAAATATAAAAGACAAAGACAATTATTGGCGTGCAAGAATTCAGGGAATATTGTTCCCATGACCCTCCCTAAAGAATTTACTAAAGAATTTGTTTCAGTGAGCCCTCTCTAAGATTCTACTAGAGAATCACTTTGGATAACCAAAATGACTAGAGAGACATCTACAGAGGACTGGTGGTGAGCATTGAATAATTATTAAATGAGGGCCAAAAGGGAACAATTGTACTATGTAATGGCTATATGATTTGACAATGTAGACTTAGTATAACTGTAAAACAAAGCGTAGAAGAAAGAGAGAGCGTTTGCAAAAAAAAAAACAAAAACAAGCCCAAACCCCCAAAACCTAAAACCAAACCCAACCAAAACAACCAGACAGCGGTTTCAGTAATAATAATTAATGGTGATAGTGTTCGTGTTGTCATTCTGAGACTTCTGTCTTAAAAGCCCCTCTTCCATCTCTCTCTGTCTCTCTCGCATGTGACAGCCACCCCAGTTCTTAACCCTAAAACATCCTCCAAATCCCTTTCTTCCTTTTTCTGCCTATCTTCCCGTGCTCTTCATTTCTTTTCTGCTATTATTCTTTGGCCCCTTTCAACCTGAATCAAGCAATCCATTTTCAGTTTTTCTTCACTATCATTACTCCAGCAAGGAAAAGCCTAGAATCTAATCTTTCAGATACAAAATTCTCTTTACCAGGTAGAGGAGAGGAAGAAGACATAAATATATATCATTTATTACTATTTTGTCATATCTCATAGGAAATTGTGTTATTAATATGATCAGTATTGATGCCTAATTTTAGTATTAGATTTCTTGCATTTCCATATTCCTGTCCTTTTTTTTATACTCATTTTCTCTGGTTAAATTTGTTTAAAATAATAACCACACAGTTGTTTCTAGATTTTATTCCATCTATATAGGTGCTGCCTATGTAATCTTTTTTTTTTTTTTCTTTGTGAGGAAGATCAGCCCTGAGCTAACATCCAATGCCAATCGTCCTCTTTTTGCTGAGGAGGACTGGCCCTGGGCTAACATCTGTGCCCATCTTCCTCTACTTTATATGGGATGCTGCCACAGCATAGCTTGACAAGCAGTGCATCAGTGCGTGTCTGGGATCCAAACCTGCGAACTCCTGGTCCCGGAAGCAGAGCGCGCGCACTTAACCACTGCACCACCGGGCCGGCCCCTGTAATAGTTTTTTAATTATCCATTTCTAGGAAACACATTCTAGGTAGACTAACTTCCTATTTCTAGATTGGAAAATATTAAAAGGGTCATTTAGCAAAGAACTGGTATAATGCCATATTATTAGGTCATGAGTTCTGTTCTGTCCAGGAATTTATATATAAAAACACATTTTAGAATCTCTGTTCTAGAACATGCCTGATGACTAATATTCTTGGTCAACTAGTGTTGTAGCTTTCCTGTGGAGACTGGACTTTTGTATTTACATAAGCTGAAAAGAGAAGGGGGTATATATGTAGAAAGATAGAGAAATATTGGTTAAGAGGCAAGGACAATTCTCTTAACCTTACCCGTGGCGTTTTCCATGTGTACTTGTCGGCACTTGTAAAATGGGTAGATCCTGGCTTTCTTTGTGTGCCTTTGGGAGTTTTGTCAGGTGAGGCTGAGGTGGAGGATAGAGTAAAGCATCTGGATTCACCATCATTATGATTTTCTTCGAGAGTCCTCTGGGAGAACAAGTGGCTTTTCCTCAAGGAGAGAATGACAAGGCTCTGGCTTTCCTAAAGCTGACTGAATTTTGTGCACATGAACTTATTCTGCTTGTTACTTTGCTGCTGCCAGCAGATCAGGCCTTGCCCTTTGAAGAAGTAGCAAGGAGTGTCACTGGTGAGAGCCAGGTTCAAAAGCAGAATGATAGCGAATACCCAGAAGCAGCCAGCCTTATTGGGTCACTGAAAAGATGAAATAAGAGGTTTGTAAATGGAGTCAAAGTGTTCTGCAAATGTAGATATTATTATTATTACTAGTAATAATAACTTGATAGAAAGGTAGATGCCCTGTACCTTAGCACAGTGTACATTGGAAACGATCTCCACAACAACCGACTTTTCACCCATGTAGTGGTGTTTCCTAGTCTTGAATTGATATGTGTTCCTCAACAATTTTTTTTATTGTATTCCTTCATTTCTCTAATATAAATTCTTTAAATTTAAAAAGATACATTTCTCAGTTGATAATACACTCTCCCCTAAAATAGCTGCACTTGAACCTGAACCTTGCTCACATTAGTTAACAGAAATCATTTAGAATGTTTGTTTTATGTACTAACATGGTCAAAGGACAGGAAAGGTAGTCAACACAGGAAGTTATAAGATTAACAAACAAAAAACATGAGAAAACATTCATTTTCATGAATTATTTAAAGAATGAGAATGAAAATAATGATTCTATTGGAGCAGTAATTCCTAAATAAATATTTTTGAATGAAGTACCAATTAATATTTAATAAATGAAGAAATTAAATGAATGGTAATACCACCGAGAAAGAGAAGGTGGTAAAATACGTTAGTGACGGTAGTGTGTCTTTTATTTGATTGCTTTTTACTGAATGAAAATAGCTTTTTTTTTCTGAATATAAAAATAATAGAAAGAAATCTTTCCACAAAGATAAACACGACTTTAACACGACTTTACATTACTGCAATAATATTATACATGCTGTTCTGCAACCTGAACATGGAGGTACCACGTTTGATTTAACCAACTGTGTTAAGTGATGGACTCTTAGCTTCTTTACATTTTCTAGCTATAGTAAAACCACTCTAAGATGTACGTCCTTGAATATACACTTGATAAAGTACATCCTGGAAGAAATTATTATGAATAGAATGTCTAGCAAAGAATACGTAGATTTTAAATTTTGAACCATATGGGCAGAATACATTCCAGAAATATAGAAATTCCCATTCCAATAATTGCCATCCACTGTTATCTCACACCTTTTCCAACATTTGATATTGCTAATGTATATTTTTAAAATTTTGACAGTGAGAGATAAAAAATTAGATCTCATTCTTTTGTTATACATTTTTTGATTATTACTGAGATTCATTTTTTTACACATTTTTTTGCTATTGGCATTTTTCTAGTTGTCAATTGCCTACTGATTACTCTTACTAACTTTTCAATAGAGATGCTTGTTTCCTCTTGTTTTTTAGAGTTTATTGTATATTGGGGATATTAAGTCTTTGTTACATATGTTGAAAATATTTTCCCAGCTAATCATTGCTTTTCAATTTTGTTTACAATATCTAAAAATGTTTTTGCCATAGGTAGATTTAAAAATTTTCAGTTACTGATAGTTTCTGGATTTTATGGCATGCTTAAAAAAACCTTCTCTTCTCATATTTAAACAGAGGATATGTGGGCAGGCATTTTGCAATTTATTAAAGTAGGGAAAAAACAGGAACTCAATTTATACCCTAATCAAATCATGACAAAACAAACAACAACAAAACAAAAAATTCTGAGCTTATCTGGTTAAGAAAAAATTGAACCAGATAAATTTTGAAGCATTTTATCGATTCTGGGATGGTATGCAATCGTTACCTGGAAGAATGCTTTCAGATTCAAAAAATATGTATTAAGGACCAGGTACTCTGCTAGGTTTTGATTCAGAGAAAAAAAGAATGATTCTGAAAATAAATAAAATTGCTTGTGTCCACCAAGAGTTTACAGATGATAATAGTCATGTATGTACAGTTGGCCGTCTGTATTCTTGGATGTGGAACCTGCGGATACGGAGGACTGACTAAGGGACTTGAGCATCCGTGGATTTTGGTATCTGCAGGGCGTCCTGGAACCAATCCCCCGGGGGTACTGAGAGACAGATTGTACAAGGGACTGTAGAAGTCTAGGATCTTCCTTCCTTCTATCTTATTCTACTTCGAAACAGCAAGAGAAATAATTGGCAAATGCTAAAAATCCTGATTTCTTGAAAAAAAAATTTCTCGTGATTTCAAGAAAACGTTGTTTAAAAGAGCCCCAAACTCCCTTCTTCTGCATCTACATTCATGGCTACCTCCCTGCATGAAGACACTGATGCCTTTGAGACACTGACTGGGCTGTGTTTACTAAACCTGTAATCATGTTTTATGCCAGGAAAATGTTTTCAAAACATCTGCACTATTGAACCAGTCAAGATGTTTTGTGAAAAATATTTGTGAATGCATCCATCAGGAGGTACTCATTCATTTGAAGTAATGGATGAAAATATTTGAAAATATTTGGTCATCTTAACTCTGTGTGTGCATGTGTTTTGAATGTGTGTGCATGAATGTGCATATGCGCATATGTAACAGTAGAATTTTATGTACAATTATGTTTTTAAGTTAATACACTTACTGTATTTGATTTTGTAAGGGAGAATGGCAAACATTAAGGATAGGAACTGAGATCTACTTTATAATGAGAGAAATAATAATAGTCCCTTATTGTTTTAATAGGATTTTAGGAATTATTTTACCTTTATTATTCAGTCTTCACAAAAAGCCTGTGAAAGAAGCATCAATATTTTCATCTTACATAATGAAAAGATGTGACGTAGTGTGATTAGGTGATTGAAGTTTCCTAGGTTAGTAAATATCAAAGATGAAAACAAAACCCCAAGTTCATTGCTTTTTCCACCACACTACAGCTGCCCCAGTGCTGTAGCCTGTCTGACCTGTGAAAGGAGGATGAGTGAGTTAGTTCCCAATTATCTATGGATGAATCTAATGAGACCCTAGCCGCTTACCACGGGCCCTGCTTGCAGAAACTATGCTCCCTCTCTATAGCACTTGCCTCAGCACAATCTGGTAGGAGCAACATGGGCTTTGGAGTCAAATTCAGTCCTGGGTTTGAATTCCAGTTCTGTCACTTATGAGCTGTGCATATTTGGACCTAAACGCTCTGCCTTGACTTCACCTAGGAACAAGGGCAGTGATAATACTTACAATGGAGATTTCTGTGGTATCTGTGGCACATAGTATGCTCAAACATCACCCAGAGGGACATTAACTGGACTCCCCTGGGATGGTGCCAAGAGATACAAAACAATTTGGGGAATACAGGGGTTATAGGGAATTGTCCAGGGGCCCTGGACATAATGGCAAGAGCCATTGAGAGTCAGTTTTGAGCCTTGTGTTAACCCACCTGCAAAGAATTTGTATTTGGCCATAGTTAGATTCATCTCTTTTATCTCTGATCTTCATCTTCCCATATGTCCCAGGAGGTATTATATTAAGAAGAAAGAAATAAGGAGCCCTGAGAACATGAGAGAAGTGTAGGAATGGCATTGATGAGCCTTTTTTGTTTTGTTTGTTTTTTTTACACTGCTCAAAATGGATTTTCCTAATCCTTTTTCCTTTTTTCACCCTTTACAGCGGATGGTGTCTGTGTCTTTAAATGCTTACTCAACAGAGACACCGAATGTTGCCGTGTGGGGAAGGAGTCCATCTTGATTACTCTGGGTTACAATAGTGCTTTGCTGAAGTTTGAGTCTCATGCTGGTAAGTTTTGTGCCTGTCCTGACCCCCTGTCTTTTCCAAAGACAATCTTCTGATTGGTTGACTTTTGGCTGTTGGTGATTGGTGGGCTTTTGGCAGCATGTAACCTGATGTGAGTTGTCGTCGCTTGACACAATGATTTAAAACTGTTTCTGGTGCTTACTTGATACCATGGCTGGAGAACAGCTGGCCTTTTCCTAGACTATGAGAACATTTTTATTCTTAGCCCCCCTTTTGGTCCTCTTTCATCCAAAGTTGCAGGTGAAGCCACCAAGGATTGTCCAGATCTTCATCATTGTTGTTGATTCTTCTTGAATGTGACGTTGTTTGCAGAAATGTGATTTCCAGTTTGAATGTCAATCAGGATGATTTCATCCTGTTTTCGTCTTTAAATCATTTCTTGAACATTTTTAGACTCTGGACAACAAACATCAGGCAACAGGGAGGTAAAGTGAAGTGTAACAAGAAGTATTTTAAGAAAGGACTGAAAGGCACTGTGGGAGATTTCCAGCCTGATAAAGAAAATTAGGGATAACAATGCCTTGAGTCTACCTTGGCTGGTCAATTGTGATTTCTTTAACTTAGACATAAATTGTTCCATCTTACTTATGGAGTTAATCCAAACAATGTAAAGTATTAGCAATGGTACATATTTTCCTCTGGTTAGCTAGAATGTCCAAAGCTGTTTCGTTATTGATAACTTCTTGGGATAAAGAAGTCTACCTGGTTTCTTGTTTCTAAACTGACTCTGGAGTCAGCTAGAGTGAGGAACTTATCTATCCATCTATCCATCATTTTATTCATCTATCAGTCCATCTTATTTTTATGATGCATTTCAGAGTAAATTATAATAACCAGCACATTTCACCGCCATATTCTTCAACCTGCATATCATTATCTAGAATTCAAAATTTGTTTATGTTTCTCATCTTTTTTCTATTGAGGTTAAATGCACAAATCTTAATACCATCATTCCTGAAAGTTGCCTCCTGTCTTTTCCCACTCACTTCTTACTCCTGTCCTTCCAGAGATAATCATTGTTCTGGTTTTTATCCCACCATAGATTAGCTTTGTCTTTTCTAGAACTTCCTATAAATATAATCATTTAGTATATACTCTCTTTAATAAGGTCACTCAGCATGTTTTGAGATTCATCTACATTGTTGCAAGTATACTCTTGTTCATTTTTATTGCTAATAGCCACAATTTGTTTATCCATTCTCATTTTGGTGGACATTGAGACTCTCTCCAGGTTTTGGCTGTGATGAATGACGCTGCTATAAATATTCTCATACCAATCTTTTTGTATATATATATTTTTCATTTCTCTTGGATCAGTAGAAGTAACATTGCTGGGTCATAGAGTAAGTGCATGCTTAGTTTTATAAGAAATAGCCAGAATTTTTTTAACATGGTTGTACCATTTTACACTCTCACCATTAATGGATAAGAGTTGTGATTCCTTCACATCTTTGCTAACATTTGATCTTTCAGTCTTTTTAATTTTTTCCATTCTGAGGGGTGTGTAGTTGTATCTTATTGTGGTTTAATTTACATTTTCCTGATACTTAATCGTGTTAAGCACTTTTTCATGTGCTTATGAATTCAAATTGTTTGCCTCTTACTAATTGGTTGTTTATCTATGGAGTTGTTCTTTATATATCCACGATACCAGGCATATAACAGATATGTAATTTATGGATGTTGTCTCCTAGTTCGTAGCTTGCTTATTCATTTGCATAATGATGTCTTATGTTGAGCAGAAGTTTTAAAATTTGATGAAGTCCAGTTTTTCATTCTTTCTTTTTTGTTTATTGCATTCTGTGTCCTAAGAACCCTTTGCCTACTCTCAAATACTGAATGATTTCGCCTATATTTTATTCTAGATGTTTTATAGCTTTAGCTTTTGCATTTTAGGTATACAATCTATCTTAATTATTTTTATATGGTGTGAAGTATGGGGCCAAGGATTATTTTTAGCCCATATGGATATCCATTTATTCTAGCACAGTTTATTGAAAAGACTTTTGCAAGTCAAATGACTGTATACAGACTTGGTCTATTTTGGAGCTCTCTGTTCTGTTCCATTGATTATCCATATGCCAGTATCATATTGTCTGGATTACCTTTAAAGTAACACTTCAAGTCAGAGTTTAAGTCCTTCAACTTTGTTCTTCTTTGTCAAGATTGTTCTGGATATTCTTGTCCCTTTGCATTTCCGTATACATTTTATAATTAAGTTGTTAATTTCTACAAAAGTGCTTGGTCCAGTTATGATTGAGGTCGATCAATTGGGTGAGAATTGTCATTTTAACACTAGTAAGTCTTCTAATCATTGGTGAGCTGAAGACAGCTCATACTAGATCACAAGAGACTGTTATTGAATTTTGAGGGATTTGATAGCTTGAAATTGGCTAGGGTGGGAGAATTTACACCACAGAAATTGGCAAACTCCACAAACAGGGCCCCTTTTTGTTTTGTGGGCAGAGTCAGTTGTTAAATGTTTACCAGCATGCCATTGCTTCCAGTCCAAGAATATGGTATTTCTCTCCATTTATTTAGGTCTTTAATTTTTCCGCAAATGGGGAATGTTTTGTAGTTTTCAGTGTAGAGGTCATACACAACTTTTGACAAATTTATCCCTAAATGTTTTATGTTTCAGGATCTATTTTAAATAAAACTTTGAAAACTCACAACTGTTTGCTGCTGGTACATAATAAATTAATTAATTTTTAATATTAATCTTGGATACTACAACCTTTTATATTCACTTACTAATTCTAGTAGTTATATTTTAGACTCCTTAGAATTTTCTACCTTTAAAAAAACTTTGTTATCTGCAAATAGAGACAGCTTTAATTCTTTTCTGATCTTTATGCCTTTTATATTTTTTCTTGACTTTTTGAAATTCTTATGACCTCTAGTACAGTGTTGAATAGACCTGGAAGAGCACTTGGCCTTGATATTCTCCTGATTGTAGGGGGAAAGTGGTGTTTGTCATATGTTTTTTGTGGTTGCCCTTTATCAGCTTGGGGAAGTTCCCTTCTGTCCTTAGCTTGCTGGAAATTTTTATCGTAATTGGGCATTAGATTTTGTTAGGTATTTTTTATGGACCTATTGAGATCATCATATTCTGTAAATTTGGTGAATTATTTGGAATGAAATAGCTTGTATAGAATTGATATTATTTCTCCATTAAATTTTTGATAGATTTCACCTGTGAAGTCACTGGGGTGTGAAGTTTTATTAATGGAAATAAAATTTATTTAATAGATATAGGACTTTTTAGACTTTCTTCTTGTGTTAATTTGATATTTTATACTTGTTCATGAAATTGTTCCATTTCATCTAAGATGTCAGATTTACTGGCAGTTTTATTTATAATTTGCATGTTATCCTTTTAATTTTGTAATATCTACAATAATTTCTCCTATTTCTTTCCAGATATTGGTTATTAATGTCTTACCTTTTATTTTGATCAGCCTAGCTTAGAAGTTTATCAATTTTATTAGTCTTTTCAACAAATCAGCTTTTGGTTGCATTATTTTTTCTATTGTTTACATATTTTCTATTTCATTGATTTCTGCTCTTTATAATTTTCCTTCTTCTGCATTTTATGGGTTGACTTTGCCGTTTTGCTCTAGCTTCTGAAAGTGGAAATTTAACTTATTAATTTTATCATTTTATTCTTTTCTAATATATTTTCTTAAAGTCATTAATCTTCCACTAAGTATGACTTTACTTATATAACCAAACTTTGATATGTTGCATCTTCATGATCATTCAGTTTAAAATACATTCTAATTTCTCTTCTGGTTACTTCTTTGGTCCCTGAGATGTTGAGAAGTTTTTTAATTTCCATGTATTTGGGAATTTTGCAGGTATCTTTCTGCTGTTAAAGCTGGATGTTCTACATGTCGTGCTGTTGAGTGTCTGGATTTTGTTGCCTTCCTTTAAGTAGTATTGAGGTCTGTTCAGACAGGCGGATTAGCTAACTGTAGGTCAGCATGATTCTTCTGAGACTTGCTTTTAGCTTTGCCTTGGCTGGCATAGAGAAGTCTTTACTCTAGGTCTAGTTTAGACGTGCTCCTCAGATGTGACCATTCCGTGGTTTCTACTGTGTGCCTCAACTGTTCAACGAGGTCTCTCCACTCCGGCTGGTTGGAACTATAAACTCTCCCCACCCTGTGTCTTCTCGGAATTGTTCAGCTTGGAGCTCCCTAGTAGTAATTCTTTTCCCATAGTAATTTTAGTCTATCTTGTGGAAATCTGCCCTGCACATGTGCTGCTTAGGATTTATTCAGCTAGAAACTCAAGAGGGGCCCTATGCAGATTTTTTTTTAGCTATTTCTTCATATAGAAAGAGCTTTTTCTCTAGTAATCTACTTTAGAAATTTCAGCAGCTTCATCCTTCCTGAATGCTGATCTCTAGTATTTTCAGCTCAGCAAGACCACTCTGTTCTGTTTTCTTCCCACGCCATGTGCTGCAGTGTGGATAGTGTCTCTAGACAGAAAACCAGGGTCATCGCAGTGCTGTTCTCATTCGTTTACCTTCTTTCAGGGTTCACAGTTTTGCATTGCCTGTTCTCCAGTGTCGACAACTACTGTTTCATATATTTTTCCACTTTTCTTGTTGTTTCAGTGGAAGGTAAAGTATGGTACTAGTTAATCTGTCATGATTATGAGCATGATTTCAAGAGCAAGAAATTCACACACTCAGAACACTTCAGATTTCTTAGGCAATAGTAATGGGTGATCATGAAAAGCCGGAAGCAATCAACATTCCCATTTCTTCTGTATTGTTACTTTGATATATATTCTAGCTCATTTCATAGACTTGTTGTACAACTCCTAAATCAGAACCTTTTGTTCTGCAAGCCAGGCAAAACAAGTTTCAACTCGTAAAATAGTCGCAAACATTTCTTTCCTTTCAACGGTAGATCTGTCTTTTTGACTTTGATATTTCTATATTGTATGAAAATGACATTTCTGGTCTTCAAGAA